CCTTCAGTTAATATATGAAAGGTATTATAAATATTCATATCTCATCCTATTTAGAGGAAATATTACAATTAATTATAATTTCATTCATTTTCTTAATCTAAATCTCTTACTTCTAACAAGATTTGCATCTTCTTAAATCTTTATATGACTTGGATAAATTAAGCACCAAAATAATGACATGAAAAATTTGATCTCATTTTGATTGGTAATGATGTTTTATCTGTTAAAGTTGATACATGAGTGTACAAAAACTTGAAAATGTTGGATATATAATTCTTCCTTGATATGTAGATTTCTAAAGATTTTGAATTCGAGCTCCGGGTACAGTGCACCTTTGAAACTTGTAAAAAAAACTTTATCTCTTTTCTACGCCTACAAGTGTAAATCTAGATCAGTCGAACTAGGAGATTCGCAAATGGTTTCTTCCAAAAAAAGTTTATTTATAAATGACATGTTTTTTTTTTTCATAATTATGAGATAGTACATACAATCTTTTTTTTTCTTGATTCTAAATCAAATAATTATATATACTCTAAAATCAAAAATAAAAAAATAGGTAAAAATAAAAAATAATCTAATTTGAATTTGCAATAAAATATCTTTCTAAGATTTTGCTTTTTCTACTTTATATTTGCTATTTTGTAATTCGATGTTCAGTTTTTTATTTTAATATTAAACAATTTTATCATTTTAAATATATTAAAAAAATCTATTTCTTTTCAAGCAAAAAAAAATATTTAATTGGTGCACAAATAAAAGCATTATAGAAATCAATTTTTTATCTCTTTTAGCTTGAATTTCTATTTCTTTTTCTATTATTTGTTATTTTGTATTTCAATTTTCAAATTTTTAAAAAATTCTTTTATAAAAATGTTAAAATAATTTTTATTTCAGTTTCACAAAATTAGATTAATTAATTCAAAAATATATATATTTTTTTATTTATTAGGCTTTTATAGAGAAAATAACGTTGGGGTTAACAGGAGGTAGTCATTTCCCTTGACTCTCTAAATTGATGAAAATAATTGTAATTGAGAGGATTCGACCCTCTTTCCCTTAACTCACTTAATTAATGAAAATAATTGTGATCGAGAGGATTTGAATTTGAAACTTTCTACTCCTCACACAAATAATAAAACCAACCGAACCACTACTTGATTTACAAAAATATTGCTTTAACTTGGTTCTGAAAATAAAATTAAACCAATCGATTACAATTATTCTAGTAGAGAAAATAAATCTTTTAAATATGATAATCTCGAATTCGTAAATTTGGATGTAACCATTACGTCACAAATGCTAATTTAAAAATTTTAGGGGTAGTAGGTAATAGAGATATATAAAATCCATGTCCACTGGATCTGGTTTTGTTTCTTTCATTCAAAACCCATTCAAAGACGTCGATCTAGACTGACCTCATCTTTTGACCATAATGGTGTAATAGGAGCCACCTTCCCGTTGCCCCCATGTGCTGAAAAAGTTTTTAATTCTATACATTGTGTCCTCCAAAATTCCAATCATGACACATTGTCAACCGTTGATCATTGAAAAGTCTACTATTGACTTTGATTTTAGTATTTATGATCATGGATTGAGCGCACATAATATAGAAAAAACCGACTGAATTAAACTAAAAATTTAAATTTAAATTAAAATTTAATCAAACCAATTTATTTAAATAACTTTAATCGTTTTAATTTTTTCTTTTATGAAATTCAATATAACAAGTTATATTTGTTTCATCTAATGTGAATTGAACAGATTTAAACAATTAATCATAAATATTTTTTGAAACCATTAATTATATATTATGAAATTAAATATTTTCTCTAAATAATTTTTAAAATATATTCCATATTGATTCAAGTTCGAATTTTCCTCATTCAATATTTAAAAATATATATATTCCATATTAAAGGAGCTTAGATTGGTTTAACAAGTAAGGTGTACAATGATGTTATAGACAGCCTAGTACATTGGAAATCCTTTTCCTTTTTTTTTTTTTTTTTTAATTTAAACAGTAAGGGTTACAATGATGTTATAAGTACAAGCCTAGTACATTGGAAATCCCTTTTTCCTTTTTTTTTTTTTTTTTTAAATTTTTTTTTTAAAATTTTTTTTTTTTTTTTTTAAATTTTTTTTTTTAAAAAAGAGTAGCATTTCCTTCACGGAGCAACCTTATCCCCCCAACAATTTTTTTTTGTCTTCAGCTAACTCTACAGTACCCTAAGGTACGGGTAATATTTTCGAATTATTTTTTTTATTATTTAGTATTAATACTTGAAAATTAAATATTATTTTTTCTTTTGAAAAATAAATATTATTTTTGCTTTTAATATTTGAAATTCGAAAGTGTAATTCTTAACAATCGTTTTCCTATAGTTTCAAGAAGTACCATAAGTCTTTTTATATATATATATATATATAGAGAGTTGTATCCGTCGCGCTCTCTTTCCTTCTCCATTAAAATTTTCTTCTCTTCTCTCTATTCAAACACAAAATTAAGCTTGTAGATATGGAAGAGACTGGTTCTTGATCTTGTGACAGCCTCTTCCTCATATTTTAGTATATTTTTAGTTTTGGTACAAATTTTTATGTTTTTTTATTAAATAAATTATAAATCTATTTCTATTCTGACATAGATTCATGTTATTTATGTTTCTATTACTATTTGTGTTTTATCTTCATCTTGTGTAGAGTTTATGGTCTATCTATTTTATGTGGGGTTTTATTTTGTTGTTTGCATTTGTTTGGTTTATTTGGATAAGTTGCAATTTGTGAAGAATTTTTCAACTTTTGAAGCCTGGTAGTGTGACATGTTTCTCTATTGGATTTAGTAGTTAAAATCTTCTATGTTTGTCATAAACAACTAATTTATGGATAATTATGTCATGTATAGAAGATTCTAAGAGTTTATCTAATCAACCACTTTGAAAATTTATTCGTTTTCTTTAAATACACCTTATATTTTTTATTAAGGTTTTTTATTAAATCAGCGAATAATAATTATTTTATAATTTTTATTTTATGTCTGGTTTTCATAAGAGGGGTTATGTTCTATTTATAATATTTGTTTTGATTTAAACTTTTTTAATGAAATCCTAATATTATCTTTAAAAAAAAAAAATCAAGCGTTTTCCTAACCTACATAGTACATACGCTATTTTCAAATTAATAACATTTGTCTCATTTCAAAGACATTTAGAATCTTTTTCATGTTAACTTATTTGTATTTATGTTATATTTTGATTTTTATAAGGATAACCACTAATAAAAACAATAAATTAATGTTAGATTAGCTCATCTGCATTTATATTATTTTTTTCTAAGTTAATATTTTTTATTATTTTACTTATAGTTATTAAAAATAATAAATTTATATTAAATATTATTTTTTAAAAAGTATTTTTATATAACATATTAAAATAAAAAATAAATATATCACTTAAATTTTTTTTAAAAAAATTATATATATACATCATGATATACTCATTTCATATTTTAGCGACTAAAATTTTACCCATTCATCCACTAGCACTGATATATATTTAAATTTGAAAAATTGAGTTAATATTTGTGTTGTTTATAATTTATGTTAAAAGAAGATTCGTTTTACACACTGGAATTCCAATTTAAGTTTGATTCATCGTTAAACGAGTTAGTTAAATCTTTTAGACTATGGTGTGAGCAACTTGCAAGCATTTTTTTTTTTTTTTTTTTTATAATTCTATTTTTTGTTTATAATTCTAGTTTTAAACCCCTTCGCATTTTTTTTTTTTTTTTGTTTATAATTCTAGTTTTAAACCCCTTCAAAGAAAAAATTATAATTTTAGATAAAAAGAGTGTAAAGGTGTAAATTAATAATTTCATCCTGGAAATCCGGTGACAAGTTTTTTGTTTACGCGGAAAATTGGGTAGCGCTGGACATTGTACCGGTACTTGAGGTACCAAACGTAGGACCCTTCTTCCCTTGGCAAATTGGATTAATGCAATCATGACTGTGGAAACAAATTGGTCAATTGGTCAACTTGTACTTTTTTTTTTTTTTTGCAAATGGAAAAAACCATGCTTCACTTCATTATTATATATTTTGATTAGTATTTATACGTAAATATAATGAAACATAAACATATTTTGATTATTATTATTATTATTATTATTATTATTAATACTGTAAACAATTGAAAATTGGAAAAAAAAATTTAATTTTAATTCTAAACTGAAGCTGAAATGAAACATATAGTATGAGATTATTTTAAAATTATATTGAAGTACAAAATAAAAAATAAGATTACACTAACCAAAAATTTCCCTTTAAATTTTATTTTTTCACAGTTTCACTTTCATGTTTTACCTTTTCAATTTTTCACTCTATTAAAGATTTTTACAGTAAGAATTAGAATTGGAATTCTAGTTCTTATTCCAATTCTAAATTAAATCCATGCTACTTAAAACTTCACCCAATTTAGCTATATTTAATTTTCAAATCAGATAAATGTATTCTTTTGAAAAATAGTATGAATTTTTTAAAATGAAAAATAATAAAATTTTCATTCAATTAAATCAAAAAGAACCATATGAAAAATAAAATTACAAGAAGATAAGATCTCACTCCTCATATAAAAAGCAGCAAATTAATATATATTTTTTTTCATTTGAAATAAATAATTTAATATCTAAAAAGTTAAAACATGAAATTATTAAAGGAGGGAATATTTTAATACTAAAAAAGAGTAAAGAGGGAATCCACCGAAGAATTTATCGTTCTTCGACCATTAATTAATATGGAACCAATAGATTTAACATGAAAAAAAAAAAAGAAAACATTAATTAAAGAGACGCCACCGTTTTACAGCTCATAGTGGGACCCTTTTCTAATCTATGACAATTCCTTCAACTTTGTCTAGCTTGTTTATCCAAATTTAAAATGCCTAAAAGACTAAAAGAGCCCTCAGGGATTGCTATAAAAGGAAACCCATTTCAGCCGGTTTTATGCCAAAAACAACCGAATCGAAATGTTTCCAAGTCAACATTTTCTGCTCTCTCTTTCTTTCTTCTTCTTCTTCTCCTTCATAGCTCATGCTTCTGTTCCTCCCTCTGCCACCTTCAAGTACGTCAATGAAGGTGATTTTGGTGAATATATCGTCGAATATGATGCAAATTACAGAGTCTTAGACCCATTTGCTCAACCATTCCAACTTTGTTTCTATAACACTACTCCTAATGCCTTTACTCTTGCTTTGCGTATGGGTACTGTTAGATCTGAGTCACTAATGCGATGGGTTTGGGAAGCCAACCGCGGCAACCCAGTTGGCGAAAACGCCACTCTCACCTTCGGAACAGATGGAAATCTTGCCTTGGCCGACGCTGATGGCCGGATTGCTTGGCAAACCAACACCTCCAATAAAGGGGTCGTGGGGTTCAAGTTATTCTCTAACGGTAACATGGTTCTCCATGACAAGAACGGTAAATTCATTTGGCAAAGTTTTGATTATCCAACTGATACACTTCTAGTGGGTCAGTCGTTAAAACTTGAGGGTCCTAACAAACTTGTGAGCAGAGCTAGTGAAAAAGAAAACAAAAATGGTGCATACAGTTTGTTTATGGAGGATAAGACTTTAGCCATGTATTATAAAAGCCCAAAAGCCTCAAAACCTTTACTTTACTTTTTATTTAATGATTTACTGAGTGTCGCAAAAGGTCCTTTGAAGCGAGTAACGTTTTTATCAGGTTTGGAATTAGAATACGAGGGTGCAAAGTCGTTTGGAGGTACTTTAACTCTTAGAAGGCCTAAATACAATATGACACTGTCATATTTGCGTTTGGGAATTGATGGGAACCTTAAAATCCATACTTATGAAGATAATGCAGATTGGAGTGCTTGGCAAGTGACTTACACTCTGTTTTCTAGAGATTCTTGGGAAACAGAATGTCAATTGCCTGAAAGATGTGGGAACTTTGGGGTATGTGAGGAAGACCAATGTGTTGCTTGTCCATCACCAAAAGGATTGTTGGGTTGGAGTAAAAATTGCCAGCCAGCAAAGGTAAATTCTTGTGGGTTAAAAGATTTTTACTATTATAAACTTGAAGGAATTGACCACTTCACTGCAAAGTATACTAAAGGAGATGGACCCATGAAGCAAGATGCTTGTAGCAGTAAATGCAGTAAAGATTGCAAGTGTTTGGGTTATTTTTACCATACACAATCTTCTAGATGTTGGATTGCTTATGATTTGAAGACCTTGACAAGAGTTGGTAATTCAACCCATTTGGCCTATATTAAGGCACCAAACAAGTAATTGAATAACTGGAGCAAAATAAAGAGAAGACTAGCTATTGAGTGATTGATTACTTCCTTTTTGCCTTTGAAATTGAGTTTTTTTTTTTTTCCTTTTTTCTTTTGTGTTTTTTGTTCTCTTTAGTTCAAGTGTAATAATGTTTGTCTTCCCATTTCTACTAGGAAAGCTACTTCTCTTTTTCGGTCTGTGTAATAATAACATTTGGAATTTCTTATATGTTCAAAGTAATGTTAGAAAAAATAACTTTTGCTTTCTAATTAAAGCTTTAATGTGTTCAAAATGATTTTTAATTAATGAATTGCACTTATTTTATCTATTTCTTATACACCCAACTAATAATTAATTATTATATAATTAATTAATTATATTATATAATAATAATTAAATTATTTGTTTTTTTGCTTATTATTACTTTTTTGGATGTCTAAAATGTTTTATAGGGTTTCTAAATTTTTATATATTTAAATAATTATTTTTCTTATAATAACCTTTACATTATTTATTAAATGAAGAATTTTTATTAATATTTTAATGAGTTAAGCGTAAAAAAAAATTAAAATAGTTTTGTTGACTAAATTTTTAATATGTATATTTTGTTAAACTATGTAAGCAAAATGAAACAGAAAGAGTAAATTGAACATTTTTTTGAATCCATCGATTGGCCTAGTAAAACACAAATTGTTCTTATCTATAATTACTCCATGAATACAAGATAAGTTTATTAATCTTACTCTACTTTTCGAATCACACATTAAATTTTTATTACCATATATTTTAATTTATTATAAGATTATTAAATAAAAAATATGACAGGCCATAGCTTTCATGAAATTACGATTTACAAATAAATTTTGAATTACAAAATTTGTAGGTTATTTGTTATATTGTCTTGATGTCAGAATAGATGTGATCACGAGAATTTTAAAGTTTATTGATGGTCTAAAAAATTTATTTTTATTTTCTCTAATAGTCTTTGACAAAAGACTTCTTCAAAGCCAAATACATAAACAGGATGCTCCAGTGCGACAACTCTGAACAAAATAAAATTAAATTATATTAAATTGATTGGCCAATACATTCAAAATTGCTTTAAACGGTTTTATTTCATGAATTTAAAAATTAAATTAATGCTTTCTTTTTATATTACTTTTTAGTTCTTCTAGAATAGGTGCCTCACGTACAGTGTTGAGTATTAATTTTTTATTTATTCTCTTAATTTTAGTAAAGCTTTTAGTTTATGTATCATAAAAAAAGCTTCACACACCATACTATCTATAAGTAAAAAAAAATCATAAACATCAGCTCTGTGTTCTTCAGCTATTGATTTCATGCATTTAATTATGAATTATATATAAAAGATTTGCTAAGTAGGATTCATAAATTATTGAAGCACATTCCAAATGAGAAAAAGATAAATTCTCTCCCTCATTTATATTTTAAATAAATATATATTTACATATTCCTCGCTTATAAACCATGTTATATTTACATGTGGTATAAATTATTGATTATTCTTTAGTTAATAATTTAATTTGATTATTTTCTAATTTCTAAGATGAGATAATAATATTATTGTTAGAATATTTATTTATTTATTTAAAAATTATATAACTACATTATTTAATAGTAAAGTACAAGTATTAAAAAATTAAATAATTCGACCATTCGAGGTAAGGTAAGAGATTGAATTCAAAAGGAAAGAAAAAAAGAGATAATTTTTCTCTCATTAATATTTTAATTTACATATGACTCACTTATAAAGAAAAAAAATTATATTATTATTTATTCCCTCTGATTTATTTATATAGATAGAACGAACTTTGCATATAGATGAAGGAGTTAGTTGAACTATAATTTTTGTCCAAATCTTTCCTATTTTGCCCACCCTACAACATCATTGTCCTCAATATATTTTAGCAAAATCCAACCCTTATCTCTAGTCTTGACAATATTACAAGAGTTCAGATACCTTCTATTATTTTTTTTCAATTACTTTGATATTATCTGCATGCTCCCTACTAACATCAACTCCAGCAGCCATAATGCAATTTGAAATCAACTTTGCATGAGGCAAATGAATACAATTATTCCTGGCTTTATATTTTTCTACACTCATAATCTTGTGATTGTGTGCAATATTCTTTAGAATTATGCCCACTAAACTAATTGGAACATGCTTAATCATATGCCATAAAATTAATTTTTTATCTTCAGTAACATTATCCTTGCTACCATATTTGAGCAAAATATTTGCACAAACAATTAAATGAGGCAATCTAGGAATTGCCTTCATCCTAATTTCAACATAGTCCTCATTAGCATAATTTTGCCAAGGACCTCTCTTAAAATTCAGAAACACCATAACCTTCAAAATATTTAGTATCCTCAATAACAGAATCAAAACCACTAGAATAAATCTAACCAACACGTTGTAAAACACTCTCATTAAGTTTAACCTCAGTACCTTTAACAAATAACAGAATCAAAACCACTAGAATAAATCTAACCAACACGTTGTAAAACACTCTCATTAAGTTTAACCTCAGTACCTTTAACAACTGAGACCATATTAATCTTTCCCCTGTCACCCCTTTTTGTTTTCTCTACAAACATGTTTGCATAAAATAATCTAACTAATCGAGGATATACCATACTCTCTATTGATATACACCTTCTTATAAATCCATCAAAATAAGGTTCTAAGTCTAAACCAGGATCTTTTAACTCATCAAACTCAACTTTTTTTTCAATTAATAATTTTTCATGCATAACAATTTGGTTGTAATATTCTTCACAAGATCGAGACTTCAACGCATGATCATACTTGTCAATGTACTTTACACTGCTCTCTTCATCATCAGTTTTCTTTTCAAGTTCCTCTTCTTCTGATTCAGTGGAATCAACATCTTCTTGAATAATTTTTCTTTTTCCTTTGCTGGTGTTTTTTGAGATTACGAAGCTTTCTTTTTGGGTGAGGAAATTTTCAAAGAGGAAGTGCATGTTTGGGCCATAGATTTCATTCTATACCCCTTTTTTTTCTTATTAGCATCAAATATATCGACCGGCTTTCCCTTCTCTTTCGCAATTTTCTTCTTCATAGACGAAGTCTCACTATTTTCCCATTTTCTTTCGTTTGCTTGTGGTTGCAGTTTTATTATGTTTGGGTAACATTTATAAGTAGAAAATGTTGTTTGAGAAAGTCACTAAGGTTGCAATTGATGGAGGAAGTGATTTTTTGGGGATGAAAGCGATTAAAGGTTTTCAAACTCCAAAACTCTAATTCTCGAAACGAAACAATTTATGGTTTTTTTTTTTTTTTTACAGCAAAGCACTATCATTTTGAGACAGAGCATTCAGGTTAAATATGCCCCTAATAATCTCTTGTACCCACTTATATGACCCATGCTCATTTTTCTACACGATTAATTGGTTAGTCAACCATATTTAATCAATATTTCAACTTTGTCTGTCACTTTCTTATTTTTCTAAAAAGTTGGTACTCTGAACAAAGCAAATCAAGGGTAATTTAGACTTTGCATTTTGGTCTGGTCTAAATTAATTAATTTTGTCTATATAAATGGAACGCTAAAAATGAAAATTTTGTCTATACAGATGAATCAGAGGGAGTATTACTTGTTAAATTTATGTTTATTATTTATTATTTGTTATAAGGTTGCTAAGTGCCTACCCAACACCATCGGTGTAAGTGAGTATCAAGACCAAGTGCCTTAGAGCTACGTGCTCTCCTTGTTGCCCCAAGTGAGCTGACTGCTCTGAAGTGAGCAACACTAAATGCCTAAAATAACAAATGATAAATGTAAACAAGATAAATTATTAAATAAATAAAGATAAAGGGTATCCTAAAGATATATTTAGATTCATAAGACATAAATGTCCTAGACTTGTGGGGACATTTACTAGAATATAAATATTTATCGAGAATTCAACTAAAATTTATATATAAGACCTAATTATATTTTAAAATCAAATATTATTATTTAGATAGAATCAGAATAGGATTAGGGTCTTTCTACCTATATATATAAAGAGATCAAACTTTCTACTTATATACCCAATATCTATACAATAAGAAACACAATCTCCAACTATTTATTATTCTATTGCTGATTTAAACATTGGAATAGTTTAAGGCCTAAGGCCCTTTTACTCTTTCTTTTTTTTTAGTCCATAGATAGATTGTTTCTAGATCCATCAAGAGTCAATTATAATTATTAGATTTGTTGAGCGTATACTGTATAGGTAAATAATTAACATTGAATTATTTCAAAACCAATGCAACTGAATTATTAAATTGGGTGAGGTAATATAAATAAATAATTAATTTGTCATATGAGTCCAATTTATATTGAATTGACTAGATTGAATTATATGATGTAGTGGTCAATACATATCCGATAAGGCAATAAAGTCTTTTTAATAAATGGGACAGCCATTTGTTTAGTAATTTATTGACTGTCATCACACAGTATCATATAGGTCAGTATGAGGCCTAATGGCTTTGCTTGATCCCAAAGGGCATAGCTAAGGGTAAATGTGTAAAAAAGTCGCACATCTGAATCTAGATTGGAGAATATATATTGATAAAAGAAAAACTTATATTTACATGCAAACACATATGCAAATAAGTCCAAGGAACAAAAATTTTGGATCCTTGAAAGTATACGAATTCTAAAATGCAAGTCTTTTTTTAAAAAATGATTATAGAGTCAAAAAGAAGTAAAAAATGTATCAAGGACTAAAGTATTAGTTTTGCTAGGGATTTGAATGTTTTTCATAACATTTCTGTTCTTTCTACGTTAATTGATTTATGAAATCTATTTTTTAGACGACGGACTGTGTATTTATTTAGCTATAAGTTAGAGCCTTATAATTATTTATTGAAAAAAAAGATATATATTTTTTAATTGGAATAAAAGTCAATTTGGTTCCTGAATTTGTTTAGTAGGATAAAAAATGTCAGATTTGACCTTTTGAGCCAATTTAGCCTTTGAACTTATATAAAATGATTAAAAAGATCCAATTTTACTTTTTAGGCCAATTTAACCCCTGAACTTATTTAAAATGATAAAAAAATTATATTTGACATTTTGAGTCAATTTAACTTATAATTCTTCATTATAGTTATAATAAAATCATTATATAGACATTTATTAAAATTGTAGTTGGGATCGAGCTGACTAATTTATTAAAAAATT